TCAGTCACTGGAAATAGAAGGAAAGTGTTCCAAGTGTTCCCAAGATATGTTGGAGCTGGTGTGTTTGGGTAATGCCAGGAAGGTCTATGGCTGGAATAGAGAGGGAGGAAGAAGAGGTGGAGAGGTGTGTATCTGGACAGGGGACTCCACAGGGCCTGGGGGAGATTGGGGACTTTTGTTGCAATGAGATTACTGAGTTTAGTGACAGCAGCTGTCTCTCATTTGCGGTGTGTGGAGATGTCTCCCTAAGCCCTAATCCTGCTCGCCTCCATCGGAGCTCCACGCATTTCCCAAGGAGGCCGATCATCTTGTGGGTCTGCCCATGCCCTGCTCCTGCTCACTCACCCTTCGTGGCTCTCAGGTGCCCTGGGCGTTAACTACCAGCTCTTCCCTAACCCCCTTAAAGAGACAGCTGAAGCAATTGAGGCTAAGAGAGGAGAAAGTGCCTTGCCTCTAGTCTTGGCTGGTTCACATCTGAGCTGAGAGAAAACCCACCCCCTCTGGTTTGCGCTAGAAAAGCGTCTCTTCTGGTCTGGACCATACCTTGGAAAATGGAAGTGGGAACAACCTCCAGGTTGTTGGGAAGGGCTGTGGGTTATTGAAGGATGGCATCCTGAGCCTTCTTAAGGGTCCCACCACTCTCAGAATGAAACCCACTTCTTCATCCTTTTGCCCCGTGATCCAGCCACACTGCCTTCCTTGTCCTTGACTCTCCAGGTTTGGTCTCACCTCTGAGCCTTTGCATTGGCTGTTGCCATTCCCTACCACTTTTCCCTCTGTCTTCATTCCAGACTTGGCCTAACAAGTCACTTCTTCCCTGACACCCCATTCTTTCCCTCCTTGCCCTTGTCACAAGGTGGGGTTCTAGTGCCTGGGGTATGGCATGTGCCTTAATCTGTGTGAGCAATGGGGCCTGGGGCTCCTCCTACCCCATAGCCACAGACCTGTGTGGCTCAGTTCAGAGGGGACAAGGCCTCAGGGACCAGGGCAATTGTCCCATTTGTTGGCTGGAGAAGCTGCTTGAGACTCACCTCTGAACAATTGAGGAGCCTGTGCTTGCCTCAGTGAAAACTCACTGAGGGCTGAATTTTGAGCCCCCGAGAAAATGCCCCATAAATGTGCTTCTTGCAGCCAGTGTTGGGGCATGGGGCACCAGTCAGGATGTCACAGGTGGACTGGGACAGGTTTGGGCTTAATTTCTCTAATGTCAGTGTTAGCAGTTCTGTGTCTTACCCATATGAAGCCTAGCCAGTTGTGGTGGTTGGAGAGGACAATCAACACCCCCAGGCCAGAGGCAGGAAGGTCTTAACAACAACAACAACAACAACAACAACAACAACAACAACAACAACAAAAGACAAACTGCAAAAAATAAAAGCAGCTAGGAAAACAGGCTTATATTTTATGTACATTAGAATTTACCAGTGATCAAAAGTCTCACTTTATGCGTAACTTTTGAAACTGTGTCAATATCTGATAACAAATATTGATGAACACCTGAAAACTCACATCTTTAATAATGTCCTGCAGCAAAGACACCCAATGTAGATGCCAAGCTTGAAAATTTCAGAAAAACCTACCACTCCAGGGTGGAGGCTGGAAGGGGCTAAGAACCAGTGGATGGGCAAAACTCACTGGACCCTCACCCTGCTCCCTCAGCTCTGTGGCCACAGAGTAGTAGCCACAGGTTCTGGTGAAGATGGGAGGCCCAGAGGCAAAGCCACAGTGCCCAGTTTGGGGAGATACTCCACCCACTTTTGGAAATGAAGTCTGAAAGAAGCCCAAGAATCAGGTGTCTCATTGTTTCCCCATTAACAAGGGATCACCCTACTATACCTTCCCCAGTCTCCAAGCTGCCCCAAAGCTGGGACAAAAATAATGCAGGGAAACCAGGACTGGGGGGACAAAAGAAAAATACAGCCAACTCATTGTCCATTTCTTTATTTTCCTTCAGATTCTAAGACTTCCTCATGACACAATGTATAGCCATTGATTCCAGCCTCTGTTCATTGGAACTTCTATTCCGGTTTGGTGGTCAACTTTTTACATTTATTATCAAAGATTTAGAGTCACAATAAATACAAGTGACAACCTCTCCACCCACCCCCCAAAACTCCACTTTCCAAATACCCTGCACTAGTGTAACTGTCTATTACACTTTCATTGTTAAGTATTATAAAACTTCAGCTGTCCTTTAAAAAAAAAAGCTCAGTCCGAGTTTTTTAGGCAACCATCATGTGCAGCATAGCTCAGCATCAAATAAAAACCCTATGGTGGAGCAGCAACAACTGTCTTTTTCATGATCTACACCCCTGTGACGAGAATGTTTAAATTATATAGAAAATCCCTCCCCATGACTGTCCACAGGAAAATGACATGTAGGACACAGGAGCCGCAACACAGCAGGGCTGTACTCAGTTGCCTTTCATTCCCTCTGCGCTGGGGCCAAGCCTTGCTTCATGAAGGTCTCAGGGTACAGACAGGACCAGAGGCTACCCCTGGAAGGAGGGCAACTGTCGGCCTTGTCAAAGGTGTGGGTCCCAACATCACGGTTGGGATACTAGGAACCAGGGCCCCATGACATGGGCAGGATGGCCAGAGCAATGGGTGGCTCCAAGTGGACACACAGGTATCTATGTGCATATGCATGTATACACATATGGCCATTTCAAATATGCAAACCTTCACCCTTCCAGAGGTGGCCAGCATCTTGAACAGTTTCCCAGTTGCCATTGGGAGTTCATGTCACAGGTAACTCTGGACCTTTATCGTTTGGGACTGAGGGCTCCCAAATTCTCACTGCTCCTAGGAACCAGGTCCTCTTGGTCTGAGGCCCCAGGGGCCAGGGAGAGACCAGAACCCCAGCACTGCGGCCAATTTTGAGGGATGAGCTTTGCTGCTGGGAAAACACCCTTAACATTAATATCCTTTCTGAGTATGTCCAAACCCCACATGCAGAGAGATTTAATATGCCTTTCCTGTAACATCGTAAGTCTCATCAAAGAACTTATTTGGGTCTTATCAGAGAAGTTATACCACAAAGGGAGAAACTAAAAAAAAAAGGGGGGGGGGAGTAGGAGTTTTGATACAGTAGAAATGAACAAAAGATTAAGGCATCTCACGTTCTTGTCCCCTTTAAAAAAAAGTTACATGTCACAGTAAGTGGCCCCTGATGGGATTATTCCCAGGGACCCTGGGCTGGAGGAGGCAGAGCCAGGGCTTGTAGCCCTATCCTCCACCAGTGGTGGTCGGATTTGTACTGAATTCATGAGGCTCCCTTAATAGCTCAGAGGCTGGTAGAAGTCCAGCCAGGCAAGGTGAGCAGAGGTGGTTCCTGAGCACAGTGATGAGCGAGGTTCTAATGGGCTGGGGTTGAGGCCCAACCTGTGCAGCACAGCTCAACTCAGGCCCTTGAGTCACAGACCCATTCAACTCCAGCTGGGGTGTGACAATCCTGGCACACCCCTCCAGTGCAGAGGTGACTCTCGCCTGGATGCCTGATCCCAAGTTACTGCATAGAACTGAGGTCTGTTTGCCCACGTAAGAGGCCAGACCAGGTGCTCCTTCTTGAAGGATTTGGAAAACCTGGCCCATGTCATTGAACAGAGAGGGCTAACAGCTCAGGGTAGTATAAGACAAGTATTTATTTGCCAGGCACACAGAAAAATGTGAGGAATAGAAATGCTTGCATACTCTTAATTTTTTGGTGTAAAAACACCTCCCCCCCCCAATGTCAATATCCCTCCTATCCCCCAAATCCCTGGATCTTGGAATGAAAGCCACTCTTCCCCACCCTCCCCTCCTTCAGCCCATGTAAGTTATGCACTCAAAACAAAAATCAATGAGCAATACAGGGTTTTACACAACAAAAAATTAGAATGTTGCAAAACTAAGTCTTCTACCGCAGGTCAAAATGTTGCTAAACATGGATATTCACACAACATGAGAGAGGGGGTTAAATGAGCCTTTATTAGAATGTTGTAGCAGTGTGTTTTGAAGGCGGCGGCCCTACAAAATAAGGATTTTAAATTAAGTCCCTAACTGCATGGATAGGAAAACTAGGGCTGGGGCTGAAGTGGGGAGCAGTGTACCCCATCTCCACATCAACACACGTGTGTGCATGCACACAGGACACCCTTGCATCTGCACAGAGACAGCCCCGTGCACAGCACACTTACGACAGCTTCTGTCTATCCTCATGGAACTGATTTTTAAAGAGTGGGAGAAACCAAAATGAAACTAAGAGCAGACCTGATCCTTTGAAAGACATTTCTGTAGACTCGAAAGAGGGATTAAAAAAAAAAAAAAAAAAAAAAAAAAAAAAAAAAAAAAAAAGGTCTGAAGGCGACCCCTGGCAGCATGGCCCCGCTTTAAGGAAAGGTTCTAAACTAGACCCAAACAGAAACCCTGACATCTTGGAGGGGCAGGGGCACCTCCCCACCAGACACACCTGACAGGAGCATAGGCCAGGGTACCTTAGGATGTTGTCCATCAAAATAAGTAGGAAAAGAAAAATTTAATAAAATAAAACCACAACAACAACAAAAAACACAATAGCCTGCCCCTCTAACTTCCCACTCAGGCTCCAGATGTTGCTGCCAATTCTCTCCTCCCTCCACTGGCGGTACGCGGCTTCCGGGATTCCAGGCTCTCTGTCTGGGTCAGGGTTGCAGTTTGTTCTTCTGCTAAGTGTGGGAGGTCCGGGGTCTCCGGGATGAGCAGCAGCAGAGGCCTTCTGCTAGACTGAGAGCTGGGCAGTCAGTGGCCCACCCTCTGGGGTGTGGGGGCCGTGCTCGGCAGGGACCCCTGGGTCTGCACGGTTTACTTTAAACTCCATCATCATGAGGTGATTAAAAAAAAAAAAAAAAATCTGTCAACCTAGAGATTGCCATGAAGGAAGGCAGTCAAAGATTTGGAGGGCTAAGATGGGGAGAAGCAAAAACAAAACAGAACGCTCCGCTCGACTTCAGAAGCCCCGGGCGCCGGTCTCGCCGAGCGTGTCACAGTGTCCAGGGTGAGCCGTCCATGCACCCTGCCGGGCTTGGGGAGATTGGGGGGAGAGGGGGGCTGAAAGGAAGGGCCGGAAGCAGAACCAGCCCCCGAGGTCCACTTTTCTGCTGGTGTTGGGCAAACTAAAGGCAAAGAAAGGAAAAAAGCCCAAGGGAAAGGTCCCCCAGTGATATTCCTCGTCCACCTGTGAAGCAGCCCCTCAGCTGCGACGAGATTTTGCAGCCAAGAATGGAGCCCTTGCTTCTGCAGCATGGCCGGCGCTCGCTCACTCATTCTCTCGGGGAGCATGATGTCTTCCCGAGTGGAGGGTGGCAGGGCCAGGTGGGAGGGAGGAGGGAGCCTGTTCTCCACCGGGCCCGGCTCGCACTATTTCCACGTGGCTGACTGGGGGATGGAGCGTGGCGGGATCATGTCCAGGAGGTACTCCCGCTGGCGGTCCACAGCTGAGGAGGTCTTGTGCACTGCCAAGCTCGGGCTGACAAACGCAAGGGCCCCACCTGCAAAAGAACAGAGTGACAGTTTTAATGGTGTGGTAATAATCTCATGACATTAAAGGGAACACGGAATGGTGAAAAGAGCAGGATACCTCTGTAGGGCACTCAGTTACACACAAGTGACACACCAGTGGAGACGCAGAATAGGGGAAAAGCCCCGAAATACAGCATTTGTTCTCTTGGGGTAGAAACACCGTTATCTTTGTTTTGTATTCTCGAAATTTCCACAATGAACAAGCATCTCTTTTACAACTGAAAAATGAAGAAACGACCCCCAATCTCCCAACACAAATAGGTTTTTGGCTGGCCTGGGGGTAAAGACTGCCCCATTCCATTCCCCCTACCACTGTGTTACCCCAAGAGTGCTTTTGGTGGAGGTTAATGTACTTTGTGGAACAAGTGTTTTGAGGTCAAATGCAATTGGGAAACCTCTATGCATTCTAAAGAGAAACATGACTGAGTCCTGCCAAGAAACCAAGGGTTAACTAGGAATGCTGGGAGAACTCTTTTGGGAAATGCTGTTTTTAAAAGTATTACACACTTACCTCTAGTCCTACTGCTGAACACAGCAACTATTTATTCCTTCATATTCCCTTTCAAATATTACCTTAAATATGCAGTTTTACATGGCTCCTACCACTGTGTACACATGCACACACCTGCATTGGACTTTTCCCACTGATTTCATATACTTTCAAAATTTTCCACAAAAGGAATTTCCAAACTGCTCTGAGTTCTTAGCTGCATCTTAAACATGACACACAAAAGTATCTCTGCCCGCTTTATGTTTACAAATGCTCTCTCTCTGCTCTACAGAATAGGTTCTTCGGCAATCAGACCAATGTCCTCCCTTTCCTGAGCTACATCCTGTGGAAGTCTGATATTTGGCCGTATTTCTAACTCTATGGTCAGCTGCATGCACAGCAGACTCCGGTGTTTTGTTTGCAGACAGCCTGGCTTTCCCAGTTCTGCCTAGGGAGACAGATCTCATGATGGTGCCTCCTCTTTTGACAGGGACACAGCGAGCTCAGGTGGGGGGCAGGGCACTCACTCCCACAGTGAAAGCACTCACCTGTCTCTCTCAGACCTCTGTGTCTTTTTCACTTTCCTGTTTTTAATGGAAATATTTAACTGCCACCTTAATGACAGCACATAAATAAAAAATGGGGCAAGTGGTGTGGGGGATGACCCAAGGATGATGGGGGCTGTGGCAGACTAGGGAATGCTCACCTAAGTGTATCCCTCCTCCCTTGAGTTGTTTCTCAAATGTGGTCTCCTCAAGAGTCCTCTGATGCCCACCGTGGTCTTGCCCCTGCTCCAGGGATTTCCCTCCTCCTCCCCCAATGTTTTTGCGGTTTTTTTGGAGTTTTTTCTTTTTTTCTTTTTTTTTTGGAGTTTTTTATTTATTTTAGAGAGCGACAGACAGACAGAACATGAGCAGGGGAGGGGCAGAGAGAGGGGGAGGCACAGAATCCAAAGCAGGCCTCCAGGCTCCGAGCTGTCAGCACAGAACCTGGTGCAGGGTTCGAACCCATGAACCGTGAGATCATGACCTATGCCGAAATCAACACTTAACTGACTGAGCCCACCAAGGCGCCCTACCACATTCTCATTCTAGCTTGCAACTTTGCACCACCTGACCTGTCCAAGCCAGAGGGTGGGAAGAGTGAACCACAGAGCAGGGAATGAAGAATGCTGCCTGGCTCAACAATAAATTAATTACTGCACCAGAGAAGGTAAAACATAACAGCAAAAGCAGGCATTCCCTGTGGCAGGAAGGTGGGGGAGTGGGGAGGAGGCACGGCACCCAGAGTTGGCAAGACTGTTTGTGCTGACAGATGCCCACTGGCTGGATGGTGTGTGTGTGTGTGTGTGTGAGACACACTACCCAAACTGGGTCTGCTCCACGTTTTGGGTCAAGAGCTAGAGTCTGGGTATAGAGCGAGCAAACAAGGGCAATTAGTTATCTACCCAGGGCTACCAGCTGTTCAGGGCATCTTATTTAGTGAACAGAGATTAAGCTGAAGAGTCAGAAGCAGGTGTTCTCAGGGGACAGGTCTGGGGTCTCAGGGCTCTTTCTATCATTTTTGTTCACCTGTATGTGTGCATGTTTTTCTTTTCTTTTCTTTTTGAGGTTTATTTCCTTTGAGAGAGGCGAGCACAAGCTGGGGAAGGGGAGAGACAGAGGGAGAGAGAGGATCCTGAGCAGTCTCGGAACTGCCAGCATGGAGCCTAAAGCAAGGCTTGAATGCACGAACTGTGAGATCATGACTTGAGCCAAGATCAAGAATTGGATGCTTAACCAACTGAGCCACCCAGGTGCCCCTGTGGACCTCATCATGACAAGGTCCCCATTCTAAGCCCTGTGGGGGCCACCCACCTGTACTCAGGGGTGCCTTCTTCCAGTTGGTGGTGGCATTGCCCTTGCCGGTGCTCACAGCTCTCTCGGAATGTCTGCCGGTCCTGCTGACAAGGGCTGTGGCCGAGGCTGCATTCTGCAGTTTGGGTGACTGGCTGAATGTGTGCAGGACACCTCGGGGCGTTGTGGCTGAGCCCCGGGACAGCTGACTGGAGGCCTACAGCAGAGAGAAGGTATGATGGCTCATGTGGGGAAGGGGATGACAGAGGGCAAGACGCTCAGCGCAGCCTCTCCGTGCTCTGGCCGACCTCTTCCCACCCACACAGGGTCCCTAAAGTCCAAAATCAGGAGACCAGGTAAGTTACACCGGGGGAGAGGGGAAGGAGGCAGGGAGAGACAGACAGACGCAGGCAGCGTGACAGTCGGCGACTGACGTGGTCACAGTCTGGGGCGTGAGGGCTGGTTGGTGGCGCGGTGCAGGGGCTCCCGGCACCGCAGTTCTGACCTGTAGCACAGCCCCGTTACTCCAGTCGCGGGCCTCTCCTGAGCGGAACGCCAACTTACGCCGGGGTTTTATGACCTACACAAACGGGGGGGAGGGGGGGGTTGAAACCGAGGTCAGCACCATCCACAGGCCGGCCTAGGGTGACCTAGAGTGACCAAAGGGCAGCAGCTGTGGCCGCATGAGGCCCAGTCCCCATGGGACAGGCTGTTTCCCGAGGGCAGCACAGCCACCCACTACATAGGGATCTTGAGAAGATGTATTTATTAGTGAATTACAAATGACTTCCAAGGACACAAAAAGTTGCCAACGGGGTGCTTTGGGTCTATAAGGGGTGGGAAAGCAAAGCATTAAAAAAAAAAAGCAGCCAAAAAACTTGATTTCAAACTTGCTTCTCTCCTTAATTTAGCTAGAACATTTCTTCCAAATGCCCCTTTTGCATCTCAATGTGGCTTTCAGAAAAGTCGTTTTAGACAAGAAGTACTTGTCAGCTGGAACACTGCAAGTGAAAGCTACAAAATCTAAAGAAACTGCAAATTAGTATTTTCACCACCAAAGGCCACCATTAAATGCAATTTAGACACACAGTTAACAACCAGGCAGATGACTGCCCAGTGTGAGACAGAATGTCGGAACATCTTGCTTGCTAGCAACAACTCCCAGCCAAGGGAACAAGGCTCCTCTCCTAGAGGCAAGGCCGCCCAGCCCATGATCCCAGGCCTCAGGGCTGCAGCTCTGGCTCCCTAAGGACTCTCACCTGCTTTAGTGCGGGGTGTGGGGCAGTGGCAGGCTCAGCCTTGGCCTGTGCGGGGGCGGCACCCTGCTGTAGGAGGCGCTGCTCGATCTCCTGCTCCTGCTGCAGCGCCTTCACAAAGGCAGCCTTCAGCCGGCTCGTGTGCTCTACCTTGAGTGCCTTCTTCTGGTTGGATGCCATGCAGTTCTCACACATAATGGCACCACCTTTCTCCTCCCGCCAGCGGCACGTGAAGTCCGTCTTGCACTGCGCACACATGTAGGGCTCCCGGGACAGAACAACAGCGGCTGACATCCTGCCTGCTGCAGGGAGAGACAGGTGGGTTCACGTCAGAGGAACAGGATGCCAGAGTCAGAGCCCCTACCATCCCAGGGCAGAATGAGGACACATGACAGATCGAGAGCAGTGCCCTGGGCTGCATGGCCCAGCTGGCATCAGGAACCAAAATCCCAAGTCGACAATGTCTGTTTGGCACACACATACCGGGTGCTGTGTGTGGACGCTAGGCCAGCCCTGGGGAAGGTTTGCCAATAGAAGGGAATTTGAGAAGCTTTGGAAAATGCCATGGACCAGGTACACTGGGTACCAATTCTCAAGAACATCAATGCTCTCAGATTGGCTCCTCCCAGTTGCCTTTCCCACCCTCAGTGCAACATTAAATTTCAAGGATGGAGGTTTTTCCAACCCTCCCACACCTCATCAGTGAAAAGGAAATGGTAACCCCCTCCAGGTCCCACCTTGCTGTGATGGGCAAGTCAAATAAGGACCAATCATCCAGCAAGTACTCATGCTGACAAGTATCCTACCCAGTGTCTTGTGCATATACAAAGGTGTTCAATTCTCACAATAACCTCCTAACAGGGCACCCTAGTCCACTAAAGGTTTTTCTGAGGAGAAAACCGAGGCTGAGGAGATGAAGTGACTTGCAGAGTCACACACCAGTCAGCAGCAGGGCCAGGACTCATACCTGCTGCCCAGCTGAGAGCACACAACTGCTCTGGGTCCTTGGCCCCCTTTTCTGAGATGGGAACGTGGCATCCCCTCGGTTGGCCATAGGAAGGGTGACTGGGGAAAGCCAGGTAAAGTGCATGCTCAGGCATGGAATCAAAATTATTTTTGCCATCCAAAGGGAAGGGGTACTTTTGGCATTTTACAACTATCTTTTTGTGTCTAGTACTCAAGGGCTTAACTTCCTTTTAACATCAGAGACCATGCTGCTGAGAGACCCTTGGCCTGCCCAAACTGCCCCAAATGCTGAGGGGCTGTGCAGGATCAGACTGGGGAAGCCCCTCACCCCACAGAGCAGATGAGATGTCACCAGATCCAGCCACCCAGGGTCTACTTCAGGCCCCCAGCCCCAGGCCCTCACCTGCAGCTAACATGCTCTGGTGAAAAGAGCACATCCCCTTCCAAACATCCAAGCCTGGAGGACAAGGTACCTTCTCCTAGGCAGCTGTGGTGGGCATGAATGGCACCAGAGTGGAGACGCCGGTATGAGGCTGCACACAGCCAACCAGACAGAGGCTCTGTGAGGTATCAGGAGACACCTCAAATAGGGCTCAGAGCTTCCTCCCACACTTAGGACCAGTTTGGGGCAATACGAGAGGGATACTGAATCCTGATGAGAGAACAGGTAGAGAAAAGGCTGATCTGGGAGAGGAGGTCCCCAGGGCAGATGGCTGCAGATGGACGGGCATTGTGTCCTGACTTGGGTCTCCCACCCACCCATCCTGCACTGGCCTCGCAGCAGCTCTTTTGCCAATAACACTCCATCATAAAGACATCAAAGGGATCCAAACACATCCAAGCCATATGACAGCTCATACCTTTCCCTGCTGAGCCTGGCTCTGGGGCCCCTTGACAAGTAGAGTCTACCACCCCCATTTTACAGAAGCCAATGTTGGTTGGGCCTTTGTGGTCTCCTACTCTCAACCTGACTCATGGTCAATCCTTGATATGGCCCTGTGGTTGGGGACTGTTTTAAGAGCAATGGGGTTGGGTAGGTGGGTGGGGTGTAGTAAGGAGGCTACAAGTAAATCTGAGGTGGCCGGCTGGGTGTTCTCTGCCCTGGGTCTGGTCCTGCCTACATATGGAGGGCTCTGCCTCTCAAAGGCACTGAATACAACACCTGAGGAGGAAATTCTCTGATATGCTGACTAATGAGGGAGAAGAAAGCACTCCCACCAACACCCTGACAGCAAGCAGGCACTACGGGGGTCACAGCTCCCTGTTATACACACCTGCCTCCCTCCCTCTCTGCAGAAGCAAGCAGGCAGAAGGTGCTTTTCCTCTGTACGGGCCCCAATTACGGTCGCCCCAGAGTCTTTGCCCTGGGAGCAGTCGGCATGTACTAAGGGACAATTCAAGGTATGTGGTCTAAAGCCTACTGAGCCCTCCCTTGCCCTGGACTGGTTATGGCTCCACCTTCTCCTCAGCTCTGAGCATTTGCTGAGATCACATAGGGAGAGGATTCAGGCTGGCTGCCCAAATAAAGTCACCACAAATCAATCTCAGAACAAGAACATCTTCACATCAGCATCTGGTAGAGGCCTCCCAAGGGCCAATATCTGGTTTCCCACCTCCATTTCCAGTGTTACTTTTGATCACTAACTGATATATGCCCTTTTATCCCTAAAACCTAACATGCAAGTGGTGCTTTCCAAACTGTTTCCAAGGAGGATGTTCAAGGGAATCTGGCCCAGACATAGGTGTCCCTCTCCCACCTTGGGGGCTCAGAGCACTCAAGGCTCTGGAAAGTTCTAGCCTGAGAGCCCTATCTGGAAGCAAAGCCTGTCAACTTCCTGCAGACGTTTCTCCTCACCCTCTTCTGCCTGCCCCAATGTCACAGAGCTGTTGGGGAATGATTCTCACCCCCCTCAGACCATGTGTGCAGGGCCTCGGGCTTCCTCAGGGCCCAGCTCTCAGAGGCAGCCTCAACAAGAGAAGAAAGGTGACTGTCATGTGTTTAAGAAGTTATCTAAGGTGACAAATGGTGGCTTCATTTATTGTGGTGAACACTGATTAATGCATAAAACTATTAAATCACTATAATGTACCCTGAAACTAATGTAACATTGTATGTCAACTATACTTCAAAAATAAGTATTTTTAAAAATGCAAGAACTAAAACAAGCAAAAAAGTAATCTAAGCCTCGCAGCAAGCAGAACTGATATTCTAACACGTGCTGTGCATTCAAAACAACCTACGTAAGAGAAACTTCAGTGGCAAGAGATGAAAATGGCCCCAAAGCCCACTCACCTTGCGTCTCCAGCAGGTTCTGCACCACTTCCTCCAGGCCGACCAAGTAGATGAATTCGTTATTGGCAGCGCTGGGCAGGAAGTTCATCTCTGGGGCAGGGGGCTTGGGAGGGGGGATTTCAAGCAGCGTCTTCTCTAGCTGTTTGCGCAGCGCAAGCTTGGCAGCTGCCTGACGACTGGCTGGAGAATCCGCAGAGGTGACCACAGAGGCCACGCTGGTGGGGGTGGAGTTCGCCTGAGCAGAGGTGACTGTTGTCCCTTTCAGCGATGCTGGGGAAGGCTTTTGGGAGATAACAACCTGGTCAGTGTGCTGGGGGTGCCTGACCCCTCTTTAAGACAATAACTCTGAGCTTCCTGACATCAGCAAGCAACAGGCAAAGCAGCGTTAAACTCATCACTCTATGAGATTGACCAATCCTGTAAACATACTTGAGGTTTAGCTGATATCCAATAAACTACATGCATTTAAAGTCTGTAATTTGCTGTGTTTTGCCATGAGGACACCCATGAAACCAAAACCACGACTAGGGCAGTGGGCACCCCCACTCAGGCAACACAGTCACTGTCCTGTCACTATGGCCTAGCAGCCCTCCTCCCAGCACAGGGCTAGGTGACCTCCTTCATTACAGCAGTACGGCAGTGGATCACTAGAACACTGGTGGCATTTCCTTCATGAGCATCTTTGTGTGTGCTTATCTGGAGACTAATGTTTTACTCAGCTCATGTATCCTCATTGGGGTTTCAGGGGAGACCGGCTTCTGGACCAATCCCTGCCCCTTCCCCCTCTTGATCTTTGGTGCTCCTGCACTACTTTTCTTGCCTTCATCTGGATCCCAGTGGCCAATGCTCCGTTTTCTCCTTGCTCTAGTTCACCCAGCCCCCAACCTTGTCGAGCGCTTTCCTCAAAACTCTGAGTTGACCTCATTAGTGCCCTTCTGGAAATCTAAGGAAAGCAGCATACACCACCCCCAGGAAAATAGACATACCCAACAACTTGCACACAACACATCACAGGACCCAGGGAGCCTACGATGCTATCCCAGGACCACTCTCACAGAGTTGAGCAAGCCTCCCAACAGAGAGGAAGCCAGCCATCATAGCACACTGGCCTGGCCTGACTTCAGAGAAGGCAGGGATGCTGCCCAGAGCTCTGTTGGCCGGGGTCTTATTTGAGGGAGGCAGACAAAGATGCACCACACCATAGGAGGAAGAGAAGCTAACACACCCATCAGCAAAAGCCGCTGTAGACCCAGTAATTTATCTGTCAATAAAGCTCTTGCTTCCAGCCTGCCCACCCACCCTGATCCCATCTTCTTGGCTCTGCTGGGTGGAAACAGACCCACCCCATCTCAGAGGCTCTGTACAAGAGGTGAAGGGACTCACGGCTAAGAATAGATGTGCCGGTGCTGTGAGGACATTTGTAGACATGCTCCCCTCATGTGCTCATGCTGACAGGGAGGAGGGTGGGGAAGTCTATGGTGCCCCGCATCTATCTCCAGGCCTATCAGATTCTTCACCTGGCCTCATCCATCCCCCAAAACATGCTGAGTCCCACACGCAACCTGAATCTTCCCCCCACCATTCAGCTCTGCACCTCTCCCCCTCTCAATAGCTACCCACCTCTGCTAGACCACAGTTCTGAACACAGGACTCCTGCTCGTGACTTTCATACTGTGACAGGTCCCAAGGAGCTCTAGTCTAAACCTCCATGGGGTATACAAGGCCTTGCCTGGTTCTGAGTGGGCAGGCCACACCATACCACTTCAGTGACAAGACTATGCCCCAGGACTGTGGGCCCTTGATGTGTTGGGTCTGTAGGGCATGTGCCCCACCCTGACTCAGCACAGCCCTCACCTGTGGGATGTTGACGAGCAGACTGGTGTTGGGGACATTGGCGACACGGATGAGGCCCTGCTGGATGATCCTCTGTCCCTGAATTTGCACACTGGGCACAGAGGCCCGAGGGGCCAGGAGGAGCGGTGGCGGCCCCGTGCTGGAATGTTGTCTGATGTTGTGGATTTGCTGTGGGGTGGGATAGGGAATAAGATGGTAAGAGGGACGATGGAGGGAGGGAAGATTTGGGCCCCAGAGCCCCCAACCTGATGACTGGGAAGGGTTGTTCTTGTGAGGTGGTTGGTTGTTTGGAGCTGCTTGGACACTCTTGCATCCTAAAAGCACGCCCTGCTCACCTGAGCCCCCCTGACGAGTGGGGGCATGACGACCTGTGAGCTCGCCTGTGGCCCCAGCTTGGAGGACACCTGCTGTCCGCCGCGGACCAGGGGTGGTGGGATGACACTGCCAGGCATTCTTGTCGAAGAGGTCTGTCAACGGCACCGAACCCCAGGTTTTACATGGCTTTTTTTTTTTTTTTAAACAAACAGGTTTGCTGTTTTGTAAAAGTACACACTTGTTTTAAAAGGCAGGGGGGAAGCACTAAAATGTCTATTCTAGGCACAAGAAAACAAGGAACATGGACTCTGACAAGAGCTGTGCAGACTGGGCTCACTCAAAAGTGAATTGCACCAACAAGGTAGCATATTTTCACACACAGCAGGTGTCCAGCCAACCCAGGCTGGGTGTCACTTGCATGCTGGTCTGAGCTGGGGGCTCAGGCCTGTTTGAGGGAAGGTGGGCCCCTGTCTAGACCTGGATCTCATGTCTGAGAGTAGGAGCTCTACCCATCTCATCCTATGGACAGAGGAGGTCCTGCTGCATCCCACAACCACCCTTGGGAGTGTCAAAATGAAAGGAGCCTGCTCTGCCTAAATCTTGGTTCTTCTCCAGTTTTGCTAGGAGTCGTCCTAGCAGTGACTATTCATGATGTCAACAGTGGCCTAAGTTTGGGCCTCACTCAAATCTAATCAGAAGGAATGGGCAGCCTTTCACAGGAACTGGATCAGGACTGCCCAGGATCACAGAGGGAACACTGACCTGAAGGGATGGCTTGCCAGAAGGAATGTTCTGGGTGCCCCGCACAAGCGGGGGAGGGGTGGTCACGGCACTCCCAGCAGAGCCTGTGGGCTGCAAGAGAGCAGGACATGTGAGAGATGAGGGAGTCGTCAGTCCTGCTCCCCTCACACATAATCCAGACAGAGGAAAATTGGTTTTCTTCCTCTTCCAAAAGCATCAGTCTCTCAAAGGTTCTGCTTCCAGTCTGTTTACGTCTGTAGCAGGAACTGACATGTCTGAAATGGGCAGGGGAGAGATGTTCCAGCCCCCCTCACCCCTGGGGACGCTTGGCATCTTTTGTGGTTCAAGAGCAGGTTCTGCCTTCCTGGGGATATAAGGGCTGGCAGTGGTGACTGAGCCAAAGGGCCCCAGGCCTGGATAGACTAATCCCAACCTCGGTGAGAAAACACTGAGTCCAGGCACTTCTTAAAGTAACATATTCCACTAGAGAAGGGACAGTGACAGACTTGGTTCACTTCATCGAGTCTTAAACAGCTGACAAGAAAACAAGTAATAAGCAGGGCTCTGTCCACTGGGAGATTAACAGATGTCAGGCCATGTCCACTAATTGACTATGTGCAAGTGGGAGCTCAACCAAAGCCTTAAGTCAGACCAATGAGTATCCTCCTGTCCTGTTCCCTTAAGAAGACATATGTTCCACATACTGTCAGCTCATAATGCCCAAGACACATTTACTTTTTAGCTTACTGATAAAGTGGTTGAAGTAAATAGAAGGGTAGCTTAAAAAAACCCAAGAATACAAACTTGACCTTGGCCTACACAGTAAGCTGCATTAAGAAGCAGCATAAGGATGGGGAACCTGGGTGGCTCAGTCAGTTAAACGTCCGACTTCAGCTCGGGTCATGATCTCCCAAGTTTGTGAGTTCAAGCCCCATGTCGGGCTCTGTGCTGACAGCTCAGAAACTGGAGCCTGCTTCCAATTCTGTGTCTCCGTCTCTCTCTGCCCCTCCCTGACTCACGCTGTATCTCTCTCTGCTTCAAAAATTAATAAACATTAAAAAAAATTTTTTTAAGAGGCAGCATAAGGAGCCTCAGACCCCAGGGGAGATAGCAAGAGCAGAAGCCCTAGGACCGAAACTCTGGGGCCTGGGCAGCACTTGGCATGCCCCTGTAGCATTAGGGAATCTGTCCACAAAACCATGGTAGCCACTGATGCCCAGCATGGCCATCCACAGGGCAGAAGGCCTCTCTGTAAATGGGCTTGTGACAGTTCTCAATCCAGAAATGTTCTTCTAACAGCTTCAAAGACATCTGTTTTCTTAAGGCTTATAATCTATAAGGAGTAAGTTTTACATACTCAGATTGAGAATATTCTAGACCAAAATGCACTCTAATATCCTTTTACTCTGACATCGTTTTCGCTAAATCCAAAATTCAAACTTGAGACTGCAAATTTCCACTTCAGATCTTGACCCTCACACCCCTGAGGAAACCTGTTCACCCATGACCAGCCGCTCCAGCTCCTGGTACTAAGGTGGGCCAAGGTAATGATTGTGAACTTCTGTCCCCTGTTCTAAATGGCTCTTGTTGGCCTTGAGGAGAGAACAGATGCACACACACCTTCTGGGTGGTGGTTTCCTTTTGTATTTGACTCTGCCGCAACTTTTTTAATAAAACAAGTTTTGCTTCTTCTAATCTTAACTCTTCTTTCAGTTGCTTAATCATCCTTTCTCGTTCTTCAGGACTGCTTTTCTGTAAGGGCAAGAGAACAAGGGTTGAGGGGGAGGGCCACAGCCAGGGAGCATAAGCCCCATGTCACCAGGTCCGTTTCAGGGTGTTGTCAGGCAGGGTCATCCCCCAATACAGGGACAAGCTCACCATGAGGGCCTCAGTACTGGTCTCCTTCAAGGCCTCCTTCGTCAGCCCGTTCACCCTTGGGCTTGCGGGCTGCTCATTGTCGGAGAGCACGATCACATCAGGAGAGGGGGCTCTCCTCTCAGACTTCATGTCACTGTGAAGCAGGGATAGCAGGTTGTTACCAGATTGCCTGGACACTGCCAGACACCGTTCCCCAGAGCCCAGAACCTATACACCACAGATGCACAAATTTAGTCACAGCATAGAGGTGGAGAGCATGGCTGTCCTGCTCACCTTCCCAAGTCTCTTCTCCTTGGGTGTCCTCCCTACCGTACACCCAAATTGACTTCTCTCACTGCACTCACCATAAGGCACCCAAGCCCACAGCTAGGCCTCTAGCTAGGACCATTCTTGGTTGCCCACCTCTGTGTACCCAGAGCCAAGGACAAGCTGGTGTGTTCAAGGGTGATACGGCCATTTTGGAAAACACCAAAGCTTCCTTCTCTACCATGTGGTTCAGTGTTGGATAAAAACACTCAGCCCTTGATCCTGGGGCTGAGGCAGGGTCTTGGCCTATTGTTGGGGCTCCTGTGTGTTGGTGTGACAGTGTCTAAGCCTCTACTGTGTCGCAGAGTCCACACACAAGGTCCCAGAGACAGTGCTTGCCCCCCACCAAGCATCTCCGTTTTGGCCAAATGTGAACTTTCCCTTAAAACCTGGCCTCCACTTGTGATGAAAAGGATCTGATCCTTCCTTTCGTCAGTGGGAAAACCAGTGGAGGACCAAACACACCCACTAGGTGGCACTGTGACCCAGAGAACAAACTGATGAAGTTAATTGGGAAGAAGAGCTCTAAGTTGTCCCACTCCTCCTACCAGACCCCCAAGGAGAGACAGAGTTATAGAAGGAGAATTAGTACTTTAATAGCCCAATGAGCTGCCTTTTTCATTCCTGGAATGAGCTGTCTTTAGGGATGGACGGGCTCAGAGGACCAAATCCCGAGGGTTCATGTCTACCTCTGGACCCTTATCCCCATCCCCTAGAGTTCTCCCCCTGTTCCTCCTAAAGGGTCACATGGTGGTTACACCTCAATACTCCTAACCTTGATCGGATTTAACCAGTGTAGCTGTTGACTGAACTCTCACAAGAGATCAGGGGAGTGGACTAAAAGGTGCTATTTCAAGGTATACAGTCTCCTCATTGGGGTTATCAACCCACACTCTCAAGTCCAGAAACTGGTTGGCTGTTTATAAAGTAACTCAGAACATCACACTGGACCTCACCAAACCAAAGACCAATGCAATTTGGGAACCACCACTCATCTGTGTGTCTGCGGACTCCCCAATCTGCCCAAGATCAACTCTCAAGGTGACCTCGGGACTCCAATTCCATTTTTCTCTGGATGCATCCACAGATATTGAGGGGCAGTGCAAGGCCCTAGCATAGGAGCTGTGGCCACTGGTCCCAGCTCAGGTGGGCTCCCAGGTGCCTTTGTGCAGACAGAGCAGCAACCCAGACAGAACCATGTTTAGAGTTGCAGACTGCAGGCACTTCTTCCAGAGCAAGAGTGCACAGAGATCATGGCAATCACTTTTTATCATCTTATTGGGGGCATGCAGTTTTCTAAAGGTGAGAGGTCCAATAAAACTCAAATTTGCCTAAGGGAAGAGGGAGGGTGAGGGACCAAGACCATCTGGAGGCTGAAGCTCCCTGAGATGGCCACTCTGACCACAGCACTCCCAGGTCTCATATTGGCCTGAGACTAATCAATAACTCACCCAAGAGATGACGTCACCCCACCCCCATCAATGATCACTCAGCATCCCAGCAGCCAGCAGGGAGTGAACTTCCTGTATGCTAATCATCCACCAAAAAGTCATGTGACAAAGGCATTTCCCTCCTTGGTCATGTGACCCTTTTAGCTGTGCCTTCCAACATGAAAACCATGGCAACAGCCAGTTCTAACCGGTTCGTGACACGCAGCCTTCATTTTGAGAAGTGAGGTAGGGTTCAGGTGCTGTCAGAAAATGGAGGCAACCCAGCTCACCCCGGGGCTGCCCAGCTGCAGGAACTTCATATGTGGCACCAGCCCACAGGGAGCTGTTGGTGTATTACAGGGATCAGGGTTACCTCTTCCAAACACAGAGAGGCCACCAGCCCCTCTAGTTTCCAACATGGAAAACTTTGCTGAACTCAATTTTTAAAGTAAAGGTGTTTCAAAAGTCTCAGTACTTTATCAGAGTGTGCTTTTAATTCAGGAAAAAGAACACCCCTTTGACACAGGCTGAAAATTACTATGGACATTCTTTAAAAAAAAAAAGTTGTTTTAAATTACAAAAACATTTAGGCAGAAGAACAAAAGCAGAGGAAATCTAGCCCAACATTGCCAGGGAAATGGCATTGTGGCCAGGTACGCTGTTCTACTGCTTTTAGTCCATGGTAGCCGCCTGAGCACAAAATTTATTTGGGAGCCATATGATTTCTGGGCAAATCTAATAAGCCCATTCTGCCCATCTTGGGAGTCATGATCAAAAGAGATTTTATGTGACCTATGAAAATCCCTGGAAGCAGACCAGGCTATTATCAGCAAAAACAGTCTCACCACCTTCTCATCTATATGTCAGCCCTGGCTAAAGAAACGCAAAAGTTCTGTTACTTACTTGAATCTTCCATCAAGTTTCCTAGAGAGAGGCAAGGATTATAATCTTTTTTTTTTTTTTAATTTTTTTTTCAACTTTTATTTATTTTTGGGACAGAGAGAGACAGAGCATGAACGGGGGAGGGGCAGAGAGAGAGGGAGACACAGAATCGGAAACAGGCTCCAGGCTCTGAGCCATCAGCCCAGAGCCTGACGCGGGGCTCGAACCCACGGACTGCGAGATCGTGACCTGGCTGAAGTCGGACGCTTAACCGACTGCGCCACCCAGGCGCCCCCAAGGATTATAATCTTATCTCAAGACAGATCCCATGTCCTCAGCACCAGGGTACCATCCCAGTAGTCAGTACAAGGTTAATATTTAGTGTCCCCCTTAGCCTGTGCCAGGGGAAGCAGTCTCATCAAGAGAACACAGAAACTGTGCTTGGCAGCTCTGACCTTTGTTATTCTCTGAACAGGCATGCCTGATGTAGGGTCTGACTGTGGGAAAGGGGACACTTCATTCATTCATCCACTCATATTTACTGAAAACCCACCTAAGAAAGCAGATGCTATGCCAAGCAATGAGGATAAATCCCCGGATAAAAGGTAGTTTTATCCTCAGGATCCACCAGGAGGAACAGAACCCCCAGGAGGAGGAAGGGCAAGCAGGGTCCAAGAAATGGACAACCACTTGCCTAGGCTCACTGAACAGCAGGGACAGCTTCACTGGAGCTCAAAGAAATACAGTATCTTGTTACCCCAAAGACCTGCTCCATCACAGCCTACATTTCACAAGATCCCCAAGATTCTTGCACACACTAGAGAAGCTGGGGAGGACTGTAAACAAAACAAGGCCTCAGGACAACAAACTCCTCCTCAGTGCCCACTTGAAGAGACAGGTATAGTCAGCTACAACCATTCCCTACCAGAACTCTCCCCTACTCTCCTCATCTTTTGGGCCTGGCTAGGTGGGGAAAGGCAGGTAACTATTAGCTGTGTTTAAGAGCTGGGTAGGGGGCTTTGCTAGACCTAGCACCAGCCTCACTCACTCTTGCAAATATTCACTTTGGCTCCACCTGACCCTCCTTCAGTTGTGTTCCTCCACTGGAGCCCATTCACACCTCCCAGGCCAAACCTATCCACTGCCTTTTCCAGCTCCCAGCCCCTATAAACCCCAGCTCCTACTCACAGATACATGGTGCTGTGGGTTCTTCCTGCCTTCACGATCAGTCCCTTCATGGAATGTCCCTCCACCAAACTCCTGAGGCCCCCTTGTGAGCCTCAATGCACACTTCAACACACATTTCAAACCATGTACCCTCCGAAAGGTCCCTGGCTGGCCCAATCCTCCAACATGCCAGCCCTGGGAGCATGATCAGCACTCCCCTAGTCCACTCATGCATGCCTGGGGAAGCCTTAGCTATGCTTGGTACTATTCATCCTGGGGGCGGAGCCCAGGACAGAATTCTGGGGTTCCACTGAAAGGCAGCACAGGCCTGAGCAGAGGCTTCCTTGCTGGTAGCCAGCTTACTCACCCTCACTCCAGCAAATTAGTCCAAGGAAAGTGACTTCACCTTTCTACTAGGTCAACTCACCATCCTACAGCCTCCCAGGGTGACAATGTTACTGTCTGACAAGCAGGTTCCCCCACTGCTAGCTGGGACTGGAAGCCATCATAGGCACAGTAGCCATGGCCCCCCAGCCCCACTTGGAGCCTGTCTCCATGAGGCCGAGGCACTTCAGCTCCCAATGAGGACCAAGATATTCCCAGGGTGACCCAACACGCAAAGGGCAAGAGTGAGGGAGGGGTCCAGCCCTGATGTGACACCATGGCCCCAGCAAAGGGGGTGATGCCCCCTACCTCCACAGAGCCAGAGGGGCAGGAACCTCTCTCTCTAGTGCCACACTGGCTGGGAGTTGGGGACAGGCAACAGGGCCTCCTCCAAAGCCTGTGGCTGCACTCATGAAAGCTCACCATAAATAGGCACTATGAACCAAGCCTGCACACTGGGGACTTCCCCCACAAAGCCACCCGAGTTTCACTTGGTTCTACCTCTTGTAAGTGAAGACCCGGGGCAGGACATTTCCCTCCCTGTGCCTCCTAAAAGGACCAGGACAGGAATTCCTGCTCTGCTGACCCTCAGGATTGCTGGTGAGGTGAGATCTCGTTGCCGAGGCTCGGACACCCTATGAACCCATCAGGGAGGTTCAGGCTCCAATCTTTCCTAAACAGTAAGGAGCTGCTTGCCATGAATGCAAGCTTGGCACACAGCAGACAACTAGCCATTGAGGGTTAACACTCAAATATTCTCAAACCCAGAAAGGGCAGCAATGTGTCTGTTCTGTGAACTGCTCTGTCACAGCAGCTGGTGCAGGGCCTGGCACAGTAGGTGCTTAGGCAACGCGGCTGGTGGGCATGCCCACCTTACTCTTCCTTAGCACCTGGTTCCAGGATGAAGTCTGTGAGCTCATGAGGAATCCAGTGATGCCTGTAGACTGACTGATGTGGGCGGCTC